ATTCTAGATGTCGATGGATAACTTTTTACCAAAGGCTGGAGTCCCATGAGCTGTATTTATCCCGTATCGCGTAACCGCGTAACCAATCAATAATCAGTAAAACGCGAAACCACAACAGCGGATCGCTTCTGATTGGTTACACAGTTACGCGATACGCGATAAATATACCTCGTGGGACTCCAGCCAAAGAAAGCAAGTAGTGACCAGTGTTGTTAGATGAGCTCCCTTTTAGCGCATGCGCATTGGAGTATAGCATCAATGCTGTACTAATGTCGAACTTATAAAGGTTCTTTGAAGCTCTATTTTGACGTTTCTGTAAAAATTATATCATTTTTTGTTTTTTTTTGTTATTATTTATTATTGAAAACCGAAATCAGTAAAAAAAAATCAATAATAGAAGTGACGAGATTATAATATAATATAAAGTAACATAAACTGGAAACGTCAATAATTGATAACAATAATAATATAACAATAATAACAATAATTAAGACCGTCCATCTAATTTAGTGTTATACTGTAAATATATGTTAAAGGTATAAGATTCTTAAATAAATAAACAGAAATTTATAATAGATATAATATTTTATTTGGCAGAATTATAAAGAATACCAACATTTGTTGCAAGGATAAGGGAAACTGCTAAAAATCTTACTTTATATGTATAAATATTATTTTGCTTACATCTAATTGTCATTCTGGCCGGATCCCACCAAAACTATAGGACTCTTCTCTCTCATCCTCCGTAATGACCGTTATACATTCCTGGATTTCTCCAGCGCTGCAGTGCGCATGCGCTAAAAGGAGGCTCATCCAACACACTGGTAGTGACGTCCTTTGACTATATACACCTGGGCTGTGTTCCAAAATTGTTTGTCAGCGCTGCGAGCATGTCGTCATAAGTGCATGCTACCAATAGTGTTCCAATTTCATAAGCATGCTTTTCATGCAAACGCAGCTTTCATTTTGGAACGATATTTTCAGTGCTGTCAGCATATAGCGACGTCAGCGAAAAGAAACAAATAACCTAGAAATATGGAGAGAAGCATACAGAAAAAATTCGTATTTGAAACTATTATAAAGTTAGCACTTGATTCTAATGATGAAGAGTCTAGTGATTCAAATTCAGAATTAGCGGAAATTATATATAATTATTGCGAACGTCAACCAAGAATACCGAAGGTACAAATAAATGGAAACCAATTTGCTCGAA